TAAACTAAAAAACCAAAAAACTAAACAAATAAACAAAGAAATAAATAAATAAACACTTATATATACCCCCAATTGAAAGTTATTTCTATTTTGTTTGTTGTTTTTATTAACAGAGTCAAACCGTTGCAGCTGTTGCTGCGTTTGGTGTTGGCCTCCCCATCAGCAGACGGGCCGTTCCCTCGGCTCTCTCTTGGGCTGCAGCAGCATTTGCATGCAAAGAAGAAAGGTGAATACACCCAAAAAGCACAAACCACTGCAGCAGCAAAGCAGTAGAACAGCAGCAGCTGCAGCAGCAGCAGCAGCAGCACAGCTGCTGCTGCTGCTGCTGCTGCTGCTGCAAGGCAGATGCGGCAAACCCCCAACAACACTGCGGCAGCAGCAGCAGCAGCGAAGTAGCAGCAGCAGCAGCAGCAGGAGCAGCAGCAGCACAGCAAGCCTGTGCTGCAGTGTAATGCATATATTTTTGTATTCATTTTAATTATTATTTTATTAATATATTTCCCCCCCCCCCTTTTATATATTATATATTAACATATAAACATTATATTTCTTTTTTTTTCTTTTTTTTTCAGGTGTCCATGCAGCTCTTGTGAGTTTCATCGGCGGCTGCTGAAGCTTATTAAACAAAGAAATGAATTAGGGGTTTTGGGTGCAGCAGCAGCAAAAGAAGAAATATGTTTTTCTCTCGTCAGGGGGGGAGTCACCAATCTACTCCTGCAGATGGTAAACACACTCAACACCACAACAGGTAAAGACAACAAACAGCAGCAGCAGCAGCAGCAGCAGCAGCAGCAGCAGCAGCAGCAGAAGATGCTGGTGGTGGTGGTGGTGGTGGTGTTGCTGCACGTTTTATTTTATTTTCTTTTGTCTTAGTGTATTTTGGTTTCTTTTGTTTTGTTTTATTTTCTTTTTTTTTCTCTTTTAATGTTTTCTTTTCAAGTTTCTGTTTCTCTCTTTCTTTTTCCTTTTTTCTTTTTTCTTTTTCAGTTGATTTTCTTTTTCTTTTCTGCTCTGCTTTCTTCTTTTCTCTTCACCTTTCTTTTTTTTTCTTCTTTTCTTTCTCTCTTGTTTTATTTTATTTTATTTTATTTTATTTTATTTTATTTTATTTTATTTTATTTTATCTATTTCTGGAATTTATTGAACCAACCATAGCCAATTAAAAAAAAATTTTATTCTTTTACACGTATCTGCGCGTACACCGCAGCGGTGTTGCAGTGGTTGGGGTGTATACGCAGGTCCCCTTGACACCGCCAGTGTTTGCGGCTGCATTGAAAGTATTTCTTGGATTTTACTTTTATCTTCTTGGGCTTATGAAGACGCCCACCAGGGCCACAGTATCCTCACAGCAAGCGCTTGCAGCCTCACCGTAGGTTGTAAATATATATATATATATATATATATATATATATATATATATATA